CATATCTCATGACCATCACACACTCTCCACTACCACCATTCTAATTTGCTCTTGTCTCCTGTGTTCTGAGACAAGAAAGAACCCAGCTAATTAAAACAAAGTGTAAAATAAAAGCAAACAGGCTCTTTGTGAGAGCTTATCTTATCAGTAAAGTACAGGAGCTCTTGTACATGAACTTAGTGATGTCAAATTGGGTTTACTCATGGGCCTCTTTTGATTAACTGCTGATTCTTAACTTTGTTCCGGATTCTTGGCAGCATACAGTTCCTGATTCTCTATTCCTGATTCTACACAGCTATACAAAAACCATTATCTCATTGGGAAATAACTATTCCTTCATGTCTGCCTCCCTAACTAGATTATGAACGCCACAAGTTCAGGGGCCACATTTCATTCATCTTTGTACCCACATGTCTAGCAGTGTCATGTACACAGCAAGCTCTCAACAAATGTTTGCTTCCTAAATGACTCATGGAGGCTGCCATGAGTAGTTTAATGATATACGGTAATTTATGGCAATATGCACATAACTTTTGAAATAGTGCCATTTGCGACAACATGGATGGATCTTGAGATTATTATGCTAAGCGAAATAAGTCAGAAAAAGTCAAACACTGTATGATTTCACTGATATGTGGGATATAAAACTGAAAGCAACAAAGGAAGAAGACAAACAAAGGAACAAAAACTCATAGACAATAGTTTAGTCGTTACCAGAGAGTAAGGAGGTAGGAGGGTAGTAGATGAAGGTAAAAGGGATCAAATATATGGTGATGGAAGGAGAACTGACTCTGGGTGGTGAACACACAATGCGATATATAGATGATGTATTACAGAATTGTACACTTGAAGCCTATATAACTTTAGTGACCACTGTCACCCCCAATAAACTTTAATTAAAAAGAAAAAAGAAAAGAACAAGAAGCTTGTAGGCTACATGGCTGCTGGCTGCTCAGCCAAAGCATTACAGGGTGTCAAGACTTTGGTAAGGTCACCACAATGGCACAGTCTGTGTGTTCCTTAGCACTGCACCTAGCTTGTTTCAGTTACTTCAACTTAACAAGTATTTAATGGATCTGACCACCTGGGGTATACTGGCAGACTATTAGATCACTCTACCTCCCACAGATCTGTCAAATGCATTTTCTTCTCCCCATCATCATTGCTGCCACCCAAGCTCAGGCCACCATCATCTCTCCATTGTAATATTCCAGTTCATCTCCCTGCTTTCATTTTTATTCCCCTCCAATTCATTCTCTACAATGCCACCAAAATAAGCTTTCTTTAAAAAGCAAACCATATCATCCTTCAAGGCCTTTCAAAGCCTTTCCTCTGCCCTTAGGATATCTAAACCTCCTACAATGGCTTAACAGGTCCAGCCTAATCTACCTCTCCAGCTATATGGCTCACTACTAACTCTGTAACAGTCTTCACTCTAGCCATATTAACCTGCATAGAATGCCATAATTAGCCCATGCTGTCTTCCAGTGGGAAACTACGCATAGGTCTGTCAAAAAAATCCCAGTGAGCATTGAGGAAACTCAAATTATGGATTTAGTTTTCTAAAGCTAACAAGCTTCTTAAAGCCGATTGTTGACAACTATAGTCATCTAAACAAGTGTTTCCTCTTCTGGAAAGGAAGAGTCAAAAGAAGCCCGTACTCTTCAGCACTGCTAGAGTACAGGTGGAAAACATAAACTTGTCAAGAAGGGGTACCCAAGTCTCCATGTCCTTGTGCCTATTATATCACCCAGCACAAATGTGTGTCGAATGAATGGGTGAATGAATGACCAAAGTCATAGGGACATGAAAAATTCTGGGGACAGAACAACCCAGAAATATTAAGGGGAGTAGGCACGTGTCCCAATTCTAACCGAAAAAGATTCAAGGAAAGGGTTACTAGAGGTTTCTGGGAAGGATCTTCTTCATTCCGATAAGAGAGCATGGAAGGCCTGTTTTTCACCTACAGAACGGGAATGAGGATGCATGTAGCCCTTGTTGCTACTGGCTGCTATTTTGCAACATTAAGTAAGGTGACACTGTAGACAACACAGACACAGACTCCCGTCCTGCCAGCCAGTATTGAACTTGTGGTCCCTCTACCTCTGGACTTCTAGTTATGAGCCAATAAACTTCCTTATTATTTCAGTCAGTATGACTGTTACTTGCAGCCCAAAGCCTCCTAACATATATATATATATATATATATATATATATATATATATATATGAAGCAAAAAAGAGAAAATCATATTGAAGATGATGAACATAACATGTCATCATGTCATTTTGTAGCCTAATCAGAAACTAACAGCAAAATGAATCACTGTTATAAAGGAATGTAGATCCTCTATGCAACTGGTAAGGTATTAAAACTATATCAAATAATTCAGATGTATTTTCTGTGAAAAAAAAAAAGGTATTTATTCAGCTCTCACTGGATGGAATTAACAGATTAAACTCTACAGAAGAGAATACTAGTGAACTAGAAAGTGTAGCAATATAAAATATCCAGAAAGAAACAGAGGGGAAAAAAGACTGAAAGAAATGAATAGAGCATCAGTAAGCTGTGGAAAAACTTCACATGGCTCAAAACATATGTGCTTGGAGATGCCAAAGGTGAAGCGGGAGAGGACAGAAAAAGTATTTTAAGGAATAATGGTTGAGGGCCGGCCGAGTGGCTCAGTTAGTTAAGAGCACGGAGCTCTGAGCAACAGGGTCGCCAGTTTGATTCCCACATGGGCCAGTGAGCTGCACCCAAGCTGAGCTGCCACTGAGCTGCCAACAGGTGGCAGGGTGGCTCAGGTGGTGAGAGCACGTGAACCTAACAACAAGGTTGCTGGTTCGACTCCTGAGTGAGATGGTGGGCTATGCCCACCTGCAACTAAGATTGAACATGGCACCTTGAGCTGAGTGGCCCTGAGCTGCCAAAAGGCGGCCCGATGACAACTGGACTTGAAGCTGAGCTAGCTGCGCCCTCCACAACTGAGATTGAAGGACAACAACTTGGCTGTTCCCCTTCCCCAATTCCCCAACACTGTTCCCCTTCCCTAATTCCCCAACAAAAATCTTTAAAAAAGAAAAAAAAAGAAATAATGGTTAAAATTTGTCCAGATTTTGTTAAAAACTATAAATCTATAGATATAAGAATCAACAATCACAAGCACAAGAATCATGCAGAAAAGTCCACCAACAAACAACATCATCAAATTGCTTAAAACCACTGATAAAGAGAAAATCTTTAAAGTAGCCAGAGGAAAAGGATGCATTATATACAGAGAGAACAAAGATAAGAATGAGAGAGCTGATTTCTCAGAAACAATACAAGCCAGAAGACAGTGGAGTGCATCTTTAACGTAATAAAAGATCAACCAAGAGATCTATCTATACCCAATGAACATCTTTTAAAAGAAAAGCAAAATAAAGGCTTTTTCAGTCATATGAAAGTTGAAAGAATTCACCAACTACAGTCTCAAACTACTAGACATGTTAAAGGAAGACCTTTAGGCAAAAGGAAAATGATACAAGATGGAAATACGAATCTACACAAAGGAATGAAGAGGCTCAGAAATGGTAAATATACAAGCCTTTTTTTCTTATTTTTAAAACCTCTTTAAAAGATAATTGAATGTTTAAAGCAAAAATAAGAACCATATATGGTGGCGCTTATAATTTATGGAGAAGTAAAATGTATGACAGCAATAGCACAAAGGCCAAAGGGAAAGGGAGGAATGAAAGTATACATTTCTGTTGACAGGTTCTTATACTATGCATGAAGAGGTATGACATTACTTGAAGTAGACTGTGGTAAGTTAAAGATGAATACTATAAACCCTAAACCCTAAAGCAACCACTCAAAAAATAAAAACAAGAGTTATACCTGATAAGGCAACAAAGGAGACAAAATGGAATCATAAAAATATGTACTCAGGGCCGGCCAAGTGGCACGTTGGTTAAGAGCTGGCTTGGGACGCCAGAGGGCCCCGGTTCAGATCCCACATATGAGGGCCAGTGACACTGCCCTCCACAGCTAAGATGCTGAACAACAGCTCAGCCTGGAGCTGGGCTGCCGTGAGTCGCCGGCGACGGCGTAGGCTGCAGCCCCTGCTGCAGTGGGTTGCCATGGGCTACCGTGTGTAGCCAGCAGCCAGCGTGAGCGGCCGTCCAGAAGCTGGGGACTGATCTGCCTCACCCGGGAAGAGCGCAATGATGGTGCCAACTTGGGCCAGTGAAGCAACATCCTCCACAACTAGACTGAAGAACAAAACAACAGCAACTTGTCTGTTCCCCTTCCCCAATTCCCCAGCGCTGTTCCCATCCCCCAATTCCCCAATAAAAATCTTAAAAAAAAAAAAAGTGTACTCAATTCAAAAGGGAGAAAAAAGAGGAAAAATGAACAAAGAACAGATGTGACAAGCAGAAAACAGACAGATTTAAACCTAAACATAATTGATAACTACATTAAATGTAAATGGCTTAAACACCCCAAATAAAAGGCAGACACTGTCAAGTTAGATAAATGCTGCCTACAAGAAGCCCACTTTAAATATAAAGACACAAATGGGCTAAAACTGAAAGGATGCAAAACCATCTACACACTAACTCTAATAAAAAGAAAGTTTAAATACCTATATTAATACAAGACCAGTAGATTTCAAAGCAAATAACATAATCAAGGATAAAGAGAGTCATTTAACAATGACAAAAGGGTCACTTCATCACGAGTACATAACAATCCTAAACATTTATGCACCCAGTCAGTCTATCGAAAAAAGGAAACAAAAAGATGCCTTTCATGATTAAAACACAGCAACATCATTCCTGAATCAAAATTGAACATTGCCATGATCTTTACGTAGTAAGTGGTATGCAATTTTACGAATAAAAGTGCAGTATTCTCCCAAAGGGTCAAAGGTAGTAAGTAATGTGTTAAACAGCTTATGAAAATATTTATGACTTCGATGCAAATCAGCTGATCAAAGTGATTGAAAACTGACTCACCTTTCGAATTGCTTATCTTGTGGTAATGAGGCACCCCAATGTCGAAAGTCCATGATCAACATAAGCAAAAGGAGACAGGATATGAAGAAGAGTCCTAGGAATGCCACTCGCTGACGGGGAAATGGGCTCACTGTGGGCACAGTAAAATACCACCAGGCTGGGCAGAGGTAGGAAAAACTGATCCTGAAATGAGACAAACAGTAGTAAGAAAAGTCTCTAAAATTCATTACTAAAAAATACTTTTTAAACTGGGTTAAACCCTTTGTAATAAAGGCAAAAATTCATTCCACGAGACATTTAAATGTTCTTTTAGTCTCAAATTTTAGAAAAGGACCTATATGGTTCATGGTGCTTCTACTATATAAATCAGAAAAGCTTATCTGATCTTTTCCAAAGTCTATACTTCGAGGTGCAATTCAAAGAATTAATCTTATGTTAATAAAAAGATCACCAGTCTCCCTGGGCAAGCTCATAACAGTGAAGAATCATAGTAACTACAACATTTCCACCAAGAATGCTGTCAAAAAACTGGATAGTCAGAAAATTTACTCAACTGATGTTTTAAAATATTTTAACAGGTAATATATGCACATGGTATAAAAAGAATCAGTTTAAAAGGCTATCTAAGTAGAAAGTGAGTCTTTTGCCCTAACCCCACCATTTCCCTCTCAAAGGCAACCACTGCTACCCAATTTCTATGTATTTTTCCAGGGATATTCTATGCATACACAAGCATAGATATATATCATTATGGTAATATATCCGTGTGTGTATCTCTGTTCCTTTGGTTTCACTTGATAGTTACTGTTCTGCATCTTTCCCCACTTAACTCTATTTGGCTGTCCCATGTCCACAGATCCACGTTAATCTTTTCTGACAGCTTCAGAGTATTATAATGTATGGTAAGTGTATTCAACTGTGAAGTTCATTTTCTATATTGATTCAAAAGCACTGCAGTATGTTTTCAAAGTTCATTGAAAAAAAACACATTTGTTTAACCTCCTCAAGGGGCAACTGGCCTCACTCAAATGGAAATTTGAAAGAACATTACAGTCTAGCACTTTTCAGAGCTTAGCTAGCTGGCACTGAAGTGAGCCAGGGTTATGGGCTGGAAATTACTGTTGTATCTATCTGCCTTCAAAATAATGCAACTTCGATCTTTGCGTCCATCTGTCCAAATGCAAAGTCCTGATGCAGCCCTAGGACAATCCTCACTTGTAACAACCTCTCAACCTGTCTGCCACCCCCCACCGAGCCTCCAGCTGAGGAGAAAGTGTGCAGCCTTACCTAGCCATGGGTTCCCTTCAGTGGTCTCAATGCCTGTCACCTCCTTTTCCTTTTGCCCTGAGAAGGTGGTCTCCTCGTCCCAGGCATCTCCTAAGCCTGCAGCCTAGAAAGAGTTGGTGGGTTAGGTTTCAGGCTTACCTCCAACAGTGCCCACGAGACCAGACCTCCACGAGAAGGCCACGGCGCCCATCCACACTCCCCAGGCTCCCACTCCCGATCCGTCCGCTCTTGTTCCTGGGGCCCAGCGGACCCTACGCTGGCTCCCTGGGGACCGGGAGTTGAAGGCCAGCGATGTCCTCAAGGAACCAGCAGTCCCCAGGCGGCGGTCTCCGCTGCCCATCCTGTCCCTCCCGGCCCCGCAGCCCTCCAGCACTTACACTTACCGGTCGAGTAGCCCGCCGGCTACCTCAGCACCTCTCCACTGGGTCCAGTGCGACTCTCCATGGCCTTCAGCCCAGCCGGAAGGAGGCCTAAGCCGCCGGCGGCGCCACGTCCCCAAGGAAACCGCAGGGAGCCAATGACTGACAGGGGACCCGCGGAGAGGGACCCGCCCTCCATCCAGCCGGAGCCCCAGCGAACCAGCTCCGACAGCCGCACGTCCATCCGCCAAGGTGGCCAATCCTCAAGAGCATTCGGCCTCTAATGCCCGCCCTAGGATTTCGAGCGCGTCCAATCCAGAGGGGCATCGTACCGTGGCTCCGCCTGGAGGGGCCGGCGGTGGGTGCACACACAGGTAAGCGTTGCAGAGCTGCTTTGGGGTACCCTTCCCTTGCTGCCTCCTCCGCGGGGCCAATTCTCCGCCTGCTGCCTTCTCCTCGTCCGCTTTTAGGACAGAGCGGCTCCGGTGGGTGGGTCTCGGGGTGTCTGCGACAGAAGTGCATCCCTTGCCCATAATCTATTGGAGATTTTGTGTCCACTAACCGCGCCCGCCAGAATGCTAGTACTCCCACCTCGCTCCTTCTCTAGAATAGCCTACCAAACTGATGCCCCGGCCTCATTGTCTTGTCCCATAAGGAAAACATATCAACTGGGGACAGTGACGTCTACACGGAAGCGCTTATATCCATTCATTCACCATTCATCGAACGTCTACTGTGCGCCAGACATTGTGAGCGGCTGTGTCCCTGCCCTCCCGGACCTTACAGCAATGCCCACAAAGATAATGTTTCCTAATGCTGTTTTCCTTGCTTAACCCAGCCGCTTCTCTCCTTTGCATTATAGGAGGGAGCTGCTTGGAGAGGGTAAAGTCCAAGTCCTTATAAACGTGGCACATTCATGGCCGTCCACAACCCGCCCGTGCAGCATCTGCTGCTGCTCCTCCCCTCCCGCCTAATGCTCCAGCGACGCACCTCTGGTTTCTGCCCTCTTAGGCTTTGCTCATTCTAACCCCCCCACGTCTCCACCTGCCTTGACTATCCTTCCCTGAGTCTTAGCTGGGCCAACTGGTACTCATCCCTTTACACTGGGCTTAAGGGTCACGTCCCCTAAAAGCCTTACTTGACCTACACCCCCTTTATATATGCCTATTGTTTCGCTTACCACACTGAATTACAATTATATTTATGTGTCTGTGCGGATAGAATATCCTTGAGGACTACGACTATCTGCTTCCACATCAATGCTGAGCACTGCCTGGCACATAAATTAAAACTAATACATGATATATAAGTGAATGAATGACTGTGGAAATAAATGAAGACCACCCAAATGAGAACCAAACGAGGCTGTGTATTCTATGCCTGCTATAACAAGGCAGTCAGCCACCATCACTTCCATGTGGCAGACTCAAAGGCTCTCACGGGAGTGGGAAAGCTTAAAGTGAAAAAGAAAGGATGGAGGAAGGTTTCATGTATGCCCTGATTTGAGAGTATTAGCATGGGGAAGCTGGAAGCAAACTAACCAGGAGCAAGGCATCTTAGTAATTGTGTTGGGGAAACATACTCGTATTTGGCTTTCTCTAGTTCAGCGGTTCTCAACCTTCCTAATGACGCGACCCCTTCATACAGTTCCTCATGTTGTGGTGACCCCCAACCATAAAATTATTTTCGTGGCTACTCTATAACTGTAATTTTGCTACTGTTATGAATCATAATGTAAGTGTCTTTTTGTTTTCCGATGGTCTTAGGCGACCCCTATGAAAGGGTCGTTCGACCCCCAAACGGGTCGCGACCCACAGGTTGAGAACCACTGCTCTAGTTGGTCCTCAGTTGGGAAAGGGCAAAAAATAAGGAAGCTGACTGTCATTGATGAGTCAAGAGTTCTGGCCTGACTGCTGCAGAGGTTGTGAGTCAGAGTTCTAATTGTCATATATGGTCTGGCCATTGTCCAGTTTGCATATTCACTGTCATGTGACTACAGTTGACCTTTGAACAGCACAAATTTGAAGCACTGGTCCACTTGTGGATTTTTTCCAATAAATATGTACAGTACTGTAAATGTATTTTCTCTCCCTTATGATTTTTTTTTTAAGCTGAGCCATCCTGCCACCTGTTGGCAGCTCAGTGGCTGCTCAGCTCGGGCTGGGCATCGAACCGCTGTTGCTCAGAGCTCAAACTCTTGAGCAAGCTCTTAACCAACTGAGCCACTCGGCCAGCCTCTCTCCCTTATGATTTTTTACAAAACATTTTCTTTCCTCTAACTACTTTATTGCAAGAATCCAGTAGTATATAATACATATACTAAAAAATGTGTTAATCAACTGTTTATGTTATTGGTAAAACATCTGGTCAACAGTAGGCTATTAGTAGTTAAGTTTGGGGGGAGTCAAAAGTTATATGCTAATTTTTGACTGCACAGGGTGGGCGTCCATAATCCCCAGATTGTTCAAGGATCAACTGTATTGTGTTTACCCTCCAAACTAGTTGGGCTTCCTCACTTGCCTTTCTCCTTCACTTCTCAGTTCTGTTTTCTTCTCTGTCCCTCAACCCCTACTTTGCTTCAAGTGTTACATTGAACGCTACAGAAGCTACATTGAGTAGAATAGTTGCATAAAGTTAGGATTAACCACAAAGTTATATAAATATAAGGTAATTCTATTATTCCAGAACCCAGTTCAGTGCCTGGGACAAGGTAGACATGGAAAAACTCAACAAGTGTTTTGGAATAATTCTTTTTAATTCTTTTTGTTTTTTGGTTTCAGGTGTACAAAACAATGTAATAATTAGACATTTACACCCCTCACAAAGTGATAACACCCTCAATCTACTACCCCTCTGACATCATATATAGCTGTTTCAGTGCCATTGACTACATTCCCTATGCTGTACTTTACATCCCGTGACTATATATATATATATATATATATATATATATATATATATATATAATTATAGTTGACATTCAATATTATTCTACATCAGCTTCAGGAGTATCGCGCAGTTTTCACGCATCTACACAATCTATGAAGTGATCCCCCTGTTAAGTCCAGTACCCATCTGGCACCCTACATAATCTTTACATTATTGATTATATTCCCCATACTGTATTTCATATCCCCTGTGACTATTTTGTGACTTCCAATTTGTATTTTCTGATCCCTTCACCTTCTCTCCCATCTCCACACCCCTCCCATCTAGCAAACATCAGTTTTTTTTCTATGTCTGAGTCTATTTCTGTTTTCTTTGTTCATTTATTCTGTTCTTTAGATCCCACATGTAAGTGATATTATATGGTACAGTAATACCTTGGTTTGTGAGCATAATTCGTTCCGGAAACAAACTACTCGTATTGCAAGACATCGCTTTTACCAAGTTAAAAGGTATTAGAAATGTTTGCTTGTCTTGCAGAACACTCGCAAACCAAGTTACTCACAATCCAAGATTTTACTGTATTTGTTTTTCTCAGTCTGACTTATTTCACTTAGCGTAATATGCTCTAGGTCAATCCATGTCATTGCAAATGGCACAATTTCATTCTTCTTTATAGTGGAGTAATAATCCATTGTATAAATGTACCACAGTTTCTTAATCCAGTCGTCTACCGATGGGTATTTCAGTTGTTTCCAAGTCTTGGCTATTGTAAATAGCGCTGCAATAAACATAGGGGTGCATATATTTTTTCGAATTAGTGTTTTCTATTTCTTTGGATAAATACGCAGGAGTGGAATTGCTGGGTCATAAGGTAGTTCTACTTTTAATATTTTGAGAAATCTCCATACTGTTTTCTATAGTGGCTGCACCAATCTGCAGTCCCACCAACAGTGCACCAGGGTTCCCTTTTCCCCACAACCTCGCCAGCACTGGTTGTTTGTTCATTTATTGATGATAGCCATTCTGACCAGGGTGAGGTGGTATCTCATTGTTTTTATTTGCATTTCTCTAATGATTAGTGAGGTTGAATATTTTTTCATATGCCTGTTGGCCATCTGTATGTCCTCTTTAGAGAAATGTTTCTTCATATCCTCTGCCCATTTTTTAATTGGGTTGTTCGTTTTTTTGGTGTTGAGTTGAATGTTTTATAAATTTTGAATATTAACTCCTTATCAGATAGATTGTTGGCAAATATCTTCTCCCATTTAGTAGGCTGCCTTTTTGTTTTATTGATGATTTCCTTTGCTGTGAAAAAACTTTTAAGTTTGATGTAATCCCATATGTTTATTTTTTCTTTTATTTCCCTTACCCGAGGGGATATATCAGTAAAAATATTACTGAGGGTAATGTCTGCAAATTTACTCCCTATGTTTTCTTCTGGGAGTTTTATGGTTTCAGGTCTTACATTTAAGTCTTTAATCCATTTTGAATTTGTTCTCGTATATGGTGTAAGTAGGTGGTCCATTTTCATTTTTTTGCACGTGTCAGTCCAATTTTCCCAGCACCATTTATTAAATAGACTATCTTTANAAATGCTTGTTTCCTTTGTCATAGATTAAATGACCGTATATGGATGGGTTTATTTCTGGGCTCTCTATTCTGTTCCATTGGTCTATGTGTCTGTTTTTATGCCAGTACCATACTGTTTTGATTACTGTAGCCTTGTAGTATGATTTGATGTCGGGTAGTGTGATACCTCCCACTTAGTTCTTATTTCTCAAGATTGCCATGGCTATTTGGGGGTCTTCTATGGTTCCATATAAAGTTCAGGATTATATGTTCCATTTCTGAGAAAAATGTCCTTGGTAGTTTGATAGGAATTGCATTGAATCTATATATTGCCTTAGGTAGTATTGACATTTTAACTGTATTAATTCTTCCTATCCATGAATATGGTATGTATTTCCATTTATTTGTATCTTCTTTGATTTTTCTCTTCAATGTCTTATAATTTTCTGAGTACAGATCTTTTACTTCTTTGGTTAAATTTATTCCTAGGTATTTTATTGTTTTTTAAGTAATTGTAAGAGATTGATTTCCTGATTTCTTCTTCTGATAGTTTATTATTGGTGTATACATGTGCAACTGATTTCTGAATGTTTATTTTGTATCCTGCTACCTTACTAAATTCATTTATCAGTTCTAACAGTTTTTTGGTGTAGTCTTTGGGATTCTCTCTATATAGTATCCTGTCAT